TCAATTTTTCTTAGGCGGACTATTTTATTGCATTTTCTTGCACAAAATACCCCTAAAAGTGTAGAAAAAAATTGACACTCTGATCAGAGTAGAGGAAGACCCTTATTACCACCAAAACGGCAACCATAACCATGAAAAAGGTTGCAAGGTTGCTGCCAGCTTCCGTGATATCTGGGTGTTTTCGTTAAAACTAATTTTTTGGTTGAAATTTAAATGTTCGCAACCAAATAATTTTGTTGGCCTAATCAAATGTTTGACTGATTCAGCAAACCAATATTTGATTACAAGAACCAAAATTGTCAAAAGATTTTGTTGCAAGGACAAAAACTTTTTTTTTTCATTGAAGCAAATAAAAAAGCGAATTGTACAACAAAACAGTGTTATAGTCAGAGTAAAATACTTTTGATTGTTATTATCATTCCGTTGGTCACGAACTCCTTTAACATCACGAAATATACCTGCGAGCCATAATATATATATCGTGCATCAGGTCTAGGCGTCGTCGCAATGTTTCGTGGCAGGAAAACCATTTGGTTCTTGGAGTCATATAGATCGCATCACATGTGCGGAGAATGACTCAGAGGGAAGTCGAGAGAGTTCGGGTCGTTGGGGAGGTCGACGTGCGGTAGGGGTCGTAAAAGCGCGCCGGCGCTTCGGCGTCGCGACGTCGGTAACCCACAAACAGGAGCTAGGGAGAGGGTGGGGGGTTGTTGTGCGTCGTAGTGCTGTTCGTGCCTGGACCTTATGCGCCCCCAAAAGAGCCGGCAGCTAGTGCAAGACGAGTCGGTCCTTGGCCGTGTGCGTGGCCAGCAGTGGGATTAGTGGTGTTTTTTTTTCACCGTCGGTCACTGGTACCCGCGTTGAGTTTTGTTACCTCCCTCCCCCAAACCCCTTCTCATACATTGAGAGTTACTATATTTATATATATATATATATATATATATAGGGGCAGGTGTCGGGGGGCAGTTGCCAACCGTTTTTCCTGCAGGTGCGATATAATAATGCGGTACGTGCCGCGTCATCGATTACAAAAAAAGTGACGGGGAGAAATGTGATAGGAAGAGAAAAAAGGCGCCCTGAGAGTTGGTGCCTGACCGGGAGGGGTCGGGACGAAGAGAAATGCAACGAAAATCGTCGACGAGCACCTGCATCGCGAACCTTATTTGGGTGCTTTGCGCTCTCGTCACATTATGCTGCTTCTTCGTACGGCCAGCCCTAGGGGCCCCGGGCCCCCCTGATACCGGCATCAAACTAGGTAAAAAAAAAAAAAAATTGTTTCTTTTTCCCCATCCTAGGAATGTCTAGAGACATATGCGGATATTATATGATATATTCTAATTTCTGATAGATATCTCTATAGAACGTTCGAAAAATATTTAGATTGGCGCAATTATGTCAAAAATTTTAACAATTTAAATTTTCTACACGCGGAAAAAAAATCTTTATCTAGAACAGCAATCTCTAGAATAGCGAAAATTTTTGCTACTTTAGTGAAACATATCGCTGTTCCAGGTGAAAATTTGTTGGAACTGAAAAATTGAGATTATTTTCTTATCACATAAAAACATAAAGAATTTCCTCAGGGGAAAAAATTTATTCGTCTTCAATTGTCTAAAATGAAATCTTAATTTTTTTTTATTATTATTTAATTTTAGTGAATGAGATAAATAAATAAAAAATAAATAAATAAATTTTTTTCTTTCTTCATTATTGATTCATTTAAATAATTAGCCCTAGGCAAAGTTCTACTAATATTGACTGACTGAAATTATGAATTAATTTTTGTAACTTTGTTAATAACTCTCTTATCGGACCATTCATCGATTTAAAATTTTGCAAACATATAAATGATATATTTTTCAACTAATTTCCAATGTTAAAAGTAATTTTAAAATATATTTTTATTTTAAAATTCTAAAATACAATTAGTAAATAATTTGAAATAACTTATGAGAACACAGCAGCACCACCATCATGAACTAAAACGATAGCGCCAAAATTTAAAATTGATTATTTATTTATGTATATTTCGATATTTAAGTATTTTGATATAAAGTAAATTTCCTAAAAAAAAAAAAGTACATTATTAAAAAGAATACATATTTTTATTTCTTCAGTAATATTAATCATTTAAAAAAAGTTTAAACTTAAAAAAAAATTAATTATTTTTATTATAAAAATTAACAATTCTCCAATGAATTTTAAGTAATTGAAATTAGTCACTCACTTTTTGCTTTTGAGTTAGTTAAATACTAATTTTGATAGTAAAAGAAAATTTAACTAATATAGCAAAAAAGTGAGTCATAAATTCAAATTAGTTAAAATTTTTACAATATTCTTTGGAGAGTAATTTTGATACTTTTATAATATACTTTAACGATTATAGTTAATACCGCGTTGAACAAAAGAAGTTAAGGTTATCACGCAAGATTATTGACAAAAAAAAGTTTTATTATTCCAAAGAGTGTAAAAAATTTCTTCGTAAACTTTAATCTATAATACGCTTCACGTAAATACAATCTCATGAGACCAGTTGACATAAATTGATGTACTATAGCTCTTTAGAGGACATTATGATTTCATTAATATTTTACTTAAGTTACATCATATAGTATTTGATTTATTAAATTTTAACAATTGCAATAATATTACAAACTTTTATATAATTATAACTTATACCAATTAAAAAAAAGTTTAAGAAAATATAGTTATTGTTTTTTTTCTCATGGACTTTCAGAATAGGTATTGAATACACATATATATATATATAGTGTATAATGAAAACTGCAACTTAAAAAATATTTTAAAAATGATGAAAAACTTCTAAAAGAAAGTATACTTAGAAGATAAACGAGAAACTAAACAAAAGATCATCTCGCCGCAAAAGGTAATAAGAATTTCACTGTTGAGAATTCTCTTAACGAAAATTTATCATAGATGAATTTTATACAGTAGAATAAATGACTTGGAAAATTTATTCTTTGAAAACTTTTTACACAATGTAAAATTCATGCAAGAAGATAGAAAATTTAAAAAAAAAAAAAACCAACTTTATTTTATTTTAAATTCACATTATATATAAATTTAAATAGGAAAAAAATTTTTGATGAAAAGAAAAAATAAATTTGTTTTTCATTTATTTATAATTCTTTACTGTTTATTAATTTACTGAACACTAATATAATATTTATGTTATTATATTCTTTTTTTATTTCAACCATATTTTTTTTATGCCTCAATGTATTTTACCTCCATAAAAAGCTTCAGTGGGCGTATAATCAATGTTTGACGTGTTCACTTGCCAACAGAAAATTGTCTGCAGACAAGTTGACGCTTTTTCAAAAATGAAAACTATTTCGGTTTTTAATTAAACCCATTCAAAGGGAAGTAATTTTCATGGTACTTGAATTTTTTTTCCTAACCAACTGGTATAGGATATTTCAAATTCTCTTTTTTCTTGATAAAATTTATTTGAAAAAATTATTGCATATAATATTTATAATCATTAAAATTTTTGGTAATTATAAATTAAAACTGTTATTTTGAGAAAAAAAAAATGAATTCCGATTTTGGTGCTGACATTACTTTATTCATATATATATATATATATATATATATATGTTTTTCGACATAAAATGTTGTTTTACATTTACAAGGTCCACACATGAGTGTCACTACAACATGAAATGTGGATGAATGTAAAGCATCAAAAGTTTACGTTTGAGTCGCACTCAAGTTTCCAACATTGGGGGGAAAGCGGGTCAAATTCAACATTTCAAAGTTAGGAGTTTTGTATATGATGAAATTTGATTTTTTTCTATTGGATTTTATTTCAGAATCCGTTTTTATATAGACTACAAAAAAAAAGGATTAGTTAATTAATTTATTTTTTCTTCAAAGAGATTTTGATGCATTCACATGTTTTTTTTTAGCAATTTTATTCAATATTTGAAATAATCTTTTGAAATCAAGTCACTTGTAAATAAATTGCTATACATTTTTTTTTTCGACAACTTTTTAAAACAAATAATATATAGTTGAATTTCATGAGCCTCGAGCAAATTTTTCCTGTCAATTTATTCGTGAATTGTTTCATTTCAATTTTATATATATAAAATAAATAAATAAATAAATATATATATATATATATAGGGAATTGTATAAATTAATTGCATTTAATTGCAAGAAATAATCATTAGCAGATATTGGCGTAAATAATTAATTATAATAGGATTAAATTAACAATGAAATCAGTTATAATTAATTAATTAACACTTAAAGGTTATATTAATTTATAAATAAATCAATTCTATAGTGGTATATCTATTTCTACACTGAAAAAAAGAAAATTTAATTTTTACTACTTTCATGAGTAAAACGGGCACTGTCCGAAGTTTCTGCGCATCTCTGGCAATTTTTACTCCAAAAATAGTAAAATTGACTATTTTTGTAGTAAATTTTACTGTTCCGTAGTAATTTTTACTATTTTTGGTGTAAATTTTACTATTTTTGGAGTAAAAGTTGACAGAGATGCGCAGAAACTTCGGACAGTTCTCGTTTTACTCTGAAAGTAGTAAAAATTACATTTTCTTTTTTTCCGTGTAGTTTTGTCCAATTAATAATTTTATATTCGAATTGAAATAATACCATTTTATATATAATTATAAAATTATAAAATTGTAAAATTATAAAATTATAAAATTATAAAAGTATATAATTATATAATATTATATAATATTATATAATAATATAATATTGTATGATATTATATAAATAATATAATTCTGCATAAAGTATCTGTAACGTCTGACTAAATCCGGTACATGTCTACTGTACAAGTAGTCTCTGCTTTTTATGCGGTTGTATGTCTATTTGAATGTCTGACCAAAACAGGCCGAATCCACTGCGGAAGAGGAGAAGTTTATCCCTTAGTCACGAACGTTTCTGTAATTTAACAAAAAGTAAGATGTTACTTTTTTCTAACTTTTTTTTTTCCTTTCTTAAAATCCATTTTATTTTTCCTGTCCAAGGGACATTCTAGAGTCGTGTCCTCTTATTTTTGCTACACTCTGGAGAGTCGACAATAAAAATTTATCTCTGCCCTCTTCTTATTCCTTTTATTTATATGTATATATATATATATATACATGTAAAAATGTTTACCTCTTTAATGAAAAATACAAAAATAAATTGTAATTTGTATTTTTATTTAAAATAAAGAAACATTTTTTTTTTAATTGTTTTTTTAAAATTATTATTATTAAAAATTGACGAATTGTAGTAATGAAAAAGTTTTATTTATAAATATATTTTTTGCGAACTATGCGATATATTTATTTGTATTTTTTAAGTTGAACATTGTTTTTTTTATATTTCATTTCAATAAAATGTAACAATGAGGAGTTAAAAGAGTTTTTTAATTTTTTCTTGGGTGAATTTCAAGTGTAATTGCCTTATAAGCAAATTATTATTATTATTATTATTATTATTATTATTATTATATTATTATTACAAAATACACCTTTAAAAACATGACCTCAACTATGGCTAGTTGCCAAGTTAATTCCAGAAAATTGTATCGACAATAATTGTTAAAAAACATATAGGTAGCAGTTTGTTATATTCTTGAATCCCTTTTTTTCATTAATAAGATTAATTGAAAATTTTTATATTTCAAAATTAATGACAATTATTCTTAATTTTTTTTTTGTTTATTTATTAAATTTATTATTTTCAATATTGTTAAATTTTATTTTTTTAATTTTTTTAAAAAGAGGTATAGAAATAGAAAGAAAAAAATTTTTATTTTGCGAATCAGACGAAAAGGTTGACCTAAAATTTTTGATTAAAATCAAATAATTTCTAAATTATACAATCTTGTTTTATATATATATGTATATATATGTATATAAATCATCAGATATTTAAATGTCGTATAAAAAAAATATATATTAAAACCTCAAATTTAATCCCTTAGTGTTCTTTTTCAAACATATGTGACGCCGCACGAGAAAAGGTACCTATCCCCGAAATAAAATTAGGCTTAGTTTTCCGTGTACAGTGCACGGGAAACTAAGCCTAATGTTATTTCAGTGATAGGTACCTTTTCTCGTGCGGCGTCACATATATATAAAAGACGTCTTAGTAAACGCAAAATTTGATAATAATCTGCATAATAATGAGAGATTTATATACATTCAAAAACCGGAGTGAACTAATTACAATAATAACTTTCCATGAATCTGATATAATAAAATTTCATTATTGTAGAAGTTCTTAGAAATAAGAATTAAATTTATGTTTTAGAAATGTTGAAAATTTTTTACACATAAATATTAAATTTCTTATTATTTTTAAAATTAAATGTTTTTAAAAATAAAGTTTTTTAAAAATAAATTGACAAATAAATACATATTATGTATTAAAAGGAATTTTTTTTTTTTTTATAAATATCGGAAAAAAATATAGAGGAAAATTTATTGTATCCGAAGTTTTAATGTCAATCGTATGGCAATATTTATTTAAAAAATAAAAATAAATCCCATTTTATATATAAATATAATATACAAGGAAACAGAAATCGCACTACATAACGTCAATGGTGACAAATATTTTTTGTTTTTAAAATCATTTATTATTACTATAAATACTTAACGGGAAAAAAATAAGTTTTTTTTTTACTTCTAATAACTTTCCTCTTACATTATTATTTATTTATTTTTTTTTTAATCAGAAAAGGTGTAAAATCGAGTATATAAGCCGATGATCAATATGCAATAAGTTAGAGAAAAAAAAAAAAATGTATCTTTCGATAATAGCAATTTTTGTGCTTTTATGCATGTCACTTCTCACGGGTGAAGTTTTCGCCTGTGTCAAAAGAAATGGCAAATGTCGCAAAAATAGAGATTGTTGCAGTAAACGTTGTGGAAAAGGTAAATATTTATTTAAATATTATTTTATAAATAATTTCACTTCAAAAATAATTATTATTATTAAATGACTATACACTTTTTTAATCAAATAATTTTTTAGTTTTATAAAAGTTTTATTTCTTATTATTATTATTAATATTAAAATTATATTATTAAAAAATAGAGTGAGATACTTTGCAAACAATATTAATATTAAATTTTTAAAAAAGATTCGAATTTCATTTTACAGTGTCAAAAAGATGTGATTAATGGTATTATGATCAGTCACTTCATCTCCAATGGATGGCAAATATTTGAAAAAAAAAAAAAAATTTTACAATTTATTTGAAAATTTAATTTTAACATGAAGTAAAATTAAATTATTATCTTTAAATTATATTTCTTTCTATCTACCTCAATTCTGTATGTATTTGACTATTTTAATAAATTGTGAAAAAATTGCAATAACGCAAATTATTATAGTTTTCACTTTCTTTAATTTTTACCCAATAAACAGTAATGTTATTCGGCAAAAATTTTATTACTTTTATCATTGTATAATCGTTTATTGCATCCGTTGTGTCAATATTTGCATTAAAATATAAATAGAACGTATTTTTTTCCTTAATTTTTGTAAACAAACTCCTCTTTTTGGCATTATTCAAATATTGAAAGACAGTATATATATATAGGAATAATTTTTTTTTTCTTTAAATCAGTATCAAAAAGAAGATAATAAATGTATCGTTCAATTATTGTCTTTTTTATATTTTTCTACATGTCTTTTCTCTCAAAAGAAATTGACGCATGTACACCTTTGAATCAAAATTGTGAAAAAAGTTCCGAATGTTGTACTTTAAAATGTTCACCAAGTGAGTAAAAAAAAAAAAAAAACAAAAAAAAACTTTTGAGATTTAAAACAGTGACTATATATATAGATATTTTCTTTCATTTCACAGGCAGAAAGAAATGTATTCCTGGAAGGGGCTAAAAAAAATTATAATTCAAAAAAAACAAGTAATATATCTTCATTGGAATTTTTATCTACATGGACGAAGTGTATAAAAAAAAATCTCAAATTTTCTAAAGAAAATTTTTATAAAAATAAAAATTCTAGCTTATGATTTTTATGCTCTCTTAATTTGAATCAGTGAAATTTCACTGGTGAAATAGCTAGAAGTCGGTTACTGAATCATTTAGTGAAATTTTCACTGAAAATCAGTCATATATCACTGATTTCCAGTAAAAATTTCACTAAATGAATCACTCAATCTGTATTATCGGTAATGGGTAAAACAAACAGACTGATTCATTTAGTAAAATTTTCACTGGAAATCAGTGATATATGACTGATTTTCAGTGAAAATTTCATTAAATGATTCAGTAACCGACTTCTAGCTATTTCACCAGTGAAATTTCACTGATTCAAATTAAGAGAGTGGGATATTTATGCGCTTCAAAAAGATGTATAATATAAATAAAAATCAAACCTAAACCTACCTAGTGATATATTCTTATTAAAAAGTTCAATTAAGAAGTTTTCAGTCAATACATCCCTCATTAACAACTATATGTTTTTTGCCACAGGGGACGTTATTAAGGTAAAATGTTTATTCCCAAAAGAGAATTACCTCGAAGACTTCATTTTGTTTGTTATTACTTTTAATTTAGATCAACTAGGTCCCATCAGTGCCAGAGTCTATGTCTTTACAGACCTTCGCATATATATATATATGACGACAAGGGTCAATTCCATTGAGATATTGCCCACTTTCTCAGTGTATATTGAGCTGTATACATAGCAGAAACCTTATACCCTATCAGTGAATCTCAACATCCATACTATATATGTTTGTCTTCCTTATCAACAGCTTTTGTTTGGCCCCTAGCTTCGTTATCACTCTTTCATTAATACAATAGGTACACATTATCGATTATATAGTTGAAGATTCCTTCCTGGCTGGGAACAGTTAATTAGAAGTTAACAAACACCTGCCCACTTAGATAATAAATATCTGCGACAATTACTTTTTTTTTTTTCTTTCTTTTTTATCAAAATTTATAACTTTTCTCTAATTATATCAAAATAGATCTAGTTTTTGATAATTTTGAACTATTTCTCGATATAAAATATTGTATATAAGAAAAAATGATGATAAAAATTAAATAAGTGAATCCAATGGAAAATATTGCTCTCTCATAAAATATATGAAACCAGCGGATGCTCAGCTTTCAACTTCCAGTACTTGTTTAACTTTTTTATAAATCCTACGGGAAATGAAACTTATTTCACCTTCTCTATATCGGAAATAGTTTGCCAACCATATCTCTTTTATTCTTTCTATAATTAAAGAAATGAATTTTTATTTTTCTCTATTTTTATTTTTATTATTATTCTCTCTAAATCTGAATCAGTGGAAATTTTACTAATTTAATCAGTACTTTTCATTTTAACTCAATTTTCAGTTACTCTCTAAATCTGAATTAGTAAAAATGTTTACTAATTTGAATTAGTGACTCATTTTTTGCTTCTGAATTACACTGTAAAAAGAAGGTACTAAAATAGTACCGATTTTAGGTATTAAAATAGAACCAAAATGCAATTTAGTACTTAAAGTTAGTATATTAAATTAATACCTCTTGTTTTACAGTGTAGTAAAATTTTACTAATTATTAGTAAAAGTCACTAATAATTAGTAGAATTTTCCTAATTGAGAAGCAAAAATTGAGTCACTAATTCAAATTAGTAAACATTTTTACTAATTCAGATTTAGAGAGTATTTTTTCAAATTTACTTATATAATTAGTGAATATGCAAACAATAGAAAATAACTTATGAAAATCAGTAATTTGTATATAATATAACCTTTAAAATTAACTATTAAATCAGTAGATTTTGTTGCCGCCGCATATTTTACTAATTGAATCAGTAAATTTCTACGAATTATCAGTTGCTCAATTCTCGCTATGGCAATTAGTAAAGATTTCTACTGATAATCAGTAAAATATGACTGATTCAAATTTAAAGAGTTTATTTTGTTATAATTGTTAATTGAAATTAACTAAGAAATATATGAGATTAATAACATTTTTTTGGGGGGGAAAAAGAAAGTTGCCTCATACTGAAAGTATAATGCAAAAAAAAAAGAGATCACCCCTCTTAATTACGGACGACGTCGCTTTTCAAGAATTATACACGAGGTGTATATCCACTCTTATTTTAACCAAGCTCCTACAGTGTAATTAGGACACACCCTAGGGCAGTCCTTTTTTTCGAAATATAATCGTGATTTCTTTTTTGTATTTTTTGTATTAAAAGATGATTCTTTGTTTTTAAAAAAAAATATATTTACTCTTGTTCTTTTTTTTCATATTTTGTCTTATACACAAATCTCAATAATTGTTTCTGATGCGTGTGTCTCAATTTTTAAACTCGGAAATTTTTTTTCACAGTGAAATTTAGTACCATATTTTGCCGCTGCGCCTCTATTCACATTTAATTAAATTTTTCATAATTTTTACATAGCCTTAAAAACAATATATACAAATGTTAATAGTAACAATATATATATATATATATATATATATATATATATATATATATATATATATATATATATATATATATATGTATATAAATTGAGAAATATTGGAAATGCCTATTGCATATACAATATACAGAAATAGAATTCGTTTTTATAAGAAATAGGGGCAATGAAAATCCGAAACTATTATTCCTGCAATATCCATTAGGGATAATGTACATAAAAAGCTCAAAGTGGAATGACGCAAGTCCCTATCGGCTTTTATGCAATCATATAATTGTCAATTTTTACTTTTTCATTTGCAATATATATCCGCGCGAAGATGTATTAAAAAATACAGAAAAATGCATTTTTTAATTTAATTTTGAAAATTTAATATAAAATAACTTATATGAATATATAAGTTATAATTAAACAGACAAAAAAAAATTGTTTAGTCTTTCGAATTGTTTATATATATTTTTTTTTTTTTTTTTGTAAAATTTTACGAAAGTTGTAAAAATGAAAGAGATTTTTTTTTTAAATTTTACTTTATTTCTCTATATGATGCAGACAGAGAGAGAGAGAGAGAGAGAGAAAAAGAGATGAAGAGACACGATCATAAAAATGAATATTCATTCAGCTATTAACACACTTTAGTGTTTATTGTCAGGATTTGGGAGCACATTTTACATTTATGGAATGGTAATGGTGCACTAGGGAATTAAACTTTGTATGGCTCACATTTTCTTCAAGTTTCTAAAAGTTTATCACGCGCAGAGTTTGAATGATTTAATCTTGAATATCGGTATAAAGTTAACAAGAAAATTAAAAAATAGAAATCATTTCTTTCAGTTATATTATAAATATTTTTAATTCTAAATAACTTTTTATAATTTATTATTATTATTGTTATTTTTATAGTTTTTTTTTTTAAATTATTATATATCTATTGTTAAGATATGAAATTAAAGAAAAAATTCTATATAGTTATACAAAAAATAATGTAATAATTCAGGAAACATAATTATCATAATAAAACAGTTATTTTTAATTCGCTCGTTTTTCCTCGTTTATTTAAAAGAAACAAAGAATAAGGAAAAATAATGTATATATATATATATATATAGAAAGTAATTCACTGCAGTCTGCACTGCGGATATAGAAACCTTTGTTCTTTTCAATTTGTTATTTCGATTTTCTAAAATAATTCACAAATTAGGAACAAAGTCTATTAATATCCGTAAATTAATCAAAATGACATGAACTCAATTATATCTAACTTTCAAATGTCATTGTTTGGAAATCAAATTACATTAAAAAAAAGTAATTTTTACTATAAAAGAATTTTCTAGAGAGTTGTCCATTTTTTACAAAGTCATCACTTGTCTTTATATATATATATATCATATTAAATATAATAAAGTGTGTCAGAGAGTTGTCAGTTGTCTGTTTCATACAAAGTTATCACTTGTCTTATTATGAATGTATGATGATGAACAATAGAATTGTCTTTAGAATCAAAAATTAAATTAATATAATTGATTACTTGAAATACCTTGGCATTTTATTTTTCAATGTAAATGCTTATAGAAAAGTGCTAAGAGGACGAAAGACAAATAAGAGAGTTGGCAAACAAAGTTTTTTTTTTCTGCAAAAAAAATCTGCTTGATAGTCTCTGTAGATATTGAGCGTCTCTGTGCCTGGCACCCTTCCGACCTCTTCACACACACACACACATATATATATACACACAAATACACCTTTCATCCCTCTATCTTTCCTCTCTTTGCACATAAACGTTATAAAAGTACGCTGCGTTTCGAGCCTCCACTGAGCGAGATAAAGAAAACCACCTCTCACACCCCTTATACTCATAAAAGATAAGCTGACCTTGATCCTTTGCACACTCTGCCTTACTTAAAAGCTCTTTTAGGTGCCAAAGACATTTAAATTTTTCTCCTCTAAATGAAATAAAAAAAAAAAAAAAAAATTACTTAATTGACCTGAAAAACCAATTTCCTAACCTCAAAATGAATTTCTATGTATTTTATACCTAAAAAAAATCTTTTCATTCCAATAAAATTGTTCAAATGTGAAAATTATTTATGTTAAATTTTTAAATGAATATAAATAATATAAATATTTATATTTTAATGACAAAATCACGAGGTGGATGCGAGAGAGAAAAAAAACGTTATTTTAATGAAAGAGAGATGTATGGGATAAACATGAACTTAAAGTAGCGTCGACATAAAACTTTGTCTCTAGAGTACTTTAATAATTAGTTATTTATATGAACCTGTCCGTTTTATAGTTTTGTTACATGGTATTTGTAAAGCTTATTCATGACATTATCAGTGCTTTGCGTGGTCAGCTGGTTTTCACACACACACACACACATATATGTACACTGAATGTTTGTTTGTGAACTCATGCAATTCTCACACTGACTTTAGAAGAAAATGAATAATTCACAGGTTCGTTTAATAGCACTATTTCTACTTGAGTGCACCTCAACTCAAGATGATTTAATAACATCTAAAATCCTCATTGATTTTCTTATCTGCAACTGTTTTTAATAAAAAAAAAAAAAAAATTGTGAACGTTTAAATTTTCAAAATGGCGTCTCGTTACTTCACCTCGCAACTTTAATGTAAAATATAATTTTAGAAAATTAATGTAAATTTTTTTGATTTTTAATATTCCGTTTCTTTGTAACTGAACAATGAAAAGAGCATGTGCCCACGTTTAATGGATTTATGATGAAAATTAAAATTGAATTTTTGGTTTTCAAGATTTATCCTATATATATGAAAGAAACTGCATAAAAGTGTGAATATTTGAAAAAGCCACAGTTGGTCCCGTCACGATGGATTTTTCATGCACTTGATTCATGTTACTCTCGAGCAGCTTTGTGAATATGAATAAGAATTTACGAACTCCCTCGGGGGAAATTTCACACAGTGTAAAGC